CCTGTTGGCTCAAAGTTAAGTCTCGTAAATGAAATGAGATTTTCGCTCGTACCGAAACCGGGAGTGCTGTTGAAAGTATATATATATTAAATATATACATCGCGCGACCAAATTTTTAATCCGAATACCGAAGTAGTGCGGGAGTGCCGTTTAGTATCGCGCGTAAAATAACGAAAATAGCGATATAAAAATATCGCTCGTGAGTGCGGGAGTGCCGTTGAAAGTATCGCGCGTCAACAACATGAGAGGAGGAGGAGGCCTGGGAGAGGCATCTTGCATCGGCGGAGCAACCTGATGGTGAATATTTATTATTTGTATATCAATTGTTATAAATCGTACGCATAATAATTCGATCTTATTATTTAAATGAATTAAAGAGAAAATTAGAGAGAAAGATTTTTATAAAAGTTATATAAAACTTTTTAAAAAACTTTCTTAAAAAACAGTTGTAAAATTTTATAAAAATTTTCCACACGTGTTTATCTCTGCTTATCATTTTACACATCGGATATAAAATTCCGCGCGATAAAAATTTTTTGAAATATTGATTGCATTTTGTGAGCATTAATATAAATGAATTTTATATTTGTATGTTACAGACAACTAGCTTCGATAACAACAACTCCGCTGTTGCGCATCAGTGCCGGTGAGTGAGAAAAACTTTTATTTAACTTTAAGGTAACGGATTCGTATAGATTGTAGATTGTAGTTTGTAGATTGTAGATTGTAGATTGTAGATTGTAGATTGTGAATTGTAGAGTAAGTCCGTTGCCTTAAAATGGATGAGCTAGGATAGATTAAATTAAATAACTTTTAATAAATTCTTTCGAAATGCTTTGCATCTATTGCGAAAATATATTAAAGTATTAATTTAAAAAAGAGAATCAAGAAAAGAAAATTTTTTTTGTAAAGACTTGACTAATTTATTAAATCAAGAGCACGCATTAATAATTTTAACAATTTTATCAATTTTTGATACTACTTTATTCTTATAACGCGCACTTATTTTATTCTAATTTCTTATATCATAGCTCATCCATTGTAGAATTTGTTTGCAGATATTGTTTTTAAATTTTACTTTAACTTAAAATAAAGCCAAACGATTAATTAATTAAATAATTTGTAATATCATAAAAGTTATACACATACATGAATTTTATATTTTATTAGAAAATATAGTATATAGAAATTTGTAGTAATTTGGCTTTATTTGAGTTAAAATAAAGTTATATTCAAATATTTAAGAAACGATCATAAAATCGAGCGATCGTTACGATGAGCGTGAAATATTTACGCTCATTTGCCGGTAATTAATCGGCAAAAGAAGGAATGTTTATCTCCTTTTTCGATCTCTGATTAGAGATCGAGCGAGAAAGTGGCCAGAATCAACGAAAAGTAAGTTCAATTGGCCTGAAGAAAAGCTTTACGTACAATAGTACGTAATGTCGGAGATTTATTCACGCGGTTAGGGCATGCGGTTAGAGAATGTAATTAGGGCACGTAATTAAAATATACGTGATTAGAGATAGGCTTTCCTCGAATAATTTCACTTAATCGAGAAATAGGATTGTTAGGGCTATTAGGTGATCATTAGGTTTTTTTCCTTTCCAATTCCTTTCTATTATGTCATGCTATTAGGTCATCATTAGGTATTCCTTTCTATTATGCCATGCTATTAGGTCATCATTAGGTTTTTTTTCTTTCAATTTTCCTTTCAAAAAGTAGAGGATTGTTAGTGCTATTATGTGATTAATTTAGCTGATTTTATATTATGTATCTTTTTAAGGAATCAGGAAATGTAGGTTTAAATAATATTAGGGAAAACAAATTAATAAATATTTCAATAATTATATTATTAATATTAAGAATTTTTAAGGGATCAATATTTTTTGAGTATTTTCTAAGAGAGTTTTTTTTCCCCACGTAAAAAAAAAAGGATTGTTAATTTATTTTGTATTCAATTTTAAATTATATAATATTATATTTTACATTAACTTTTTGTATTAAATTCTGTATTGAAAGAAAATGAAAAATTTTGCCTTCTCGATGATATCTCCATTTTAAGGAAGGCATTTGCCGGCTGAGGAGGTTTGAGTATTTTAATGAGAGCTATGGCGGCGGTAACATACACCGATATTCGTATAGATTTTTCTTTTATTTAAGATAATTTTAAGTATGATCTTAAATATAAAAGTGAGTTATGAATACCAATCGTAGTTGTTAGAGTCATCTATGCCGGACAAGTCGAATGGGAAGTGTCAGACTAAGAGAAATACCAAAATTATATAAATATTTGTTATATTAATTATATTAATATTTTTAAATAAAATGAAAGAAAAAGGGACAATAATCGAGAAAAAGGCAACTACAGTGATTTGAATATCTATACCTGAGAACAAATGTCCATAGAAAGTATTTCGATGGACTCCATAGGAAGGAATAAGCATGACAAATGATGATAATTTTTATAATTTTAACACAAAAGAATACAATAAACCATAATAATCCAAGAACTCGAAGAAGAGAATATATTGGATAGAAATGGATAATGATTGAAAATAATTAGAAACTAAAAGACAGTGTGCAATCTATTTATTAATAATAATACTATTTTGTAATTATATTAAATTTTATAATTTAGTACATTATATTATATAAAATATTAAGCATAAAAATATTATGCTGGTAAGAAAATTATAATAAAAGTATATAAATAATGTTGACTATATTAGAATAGAACATATAAATTCTTTATATTTTATATAAAGGAAGAGATATTTAAAATATTTTACATCTATATTTTTCGAATCTTAATTATAAAAGCTTCAGCAGAATCAGTGATTACTTTAACAAATTCTATATATGTATTAATAATTACATTTCTAAATAATTAAAAAAAATGATTGATAAATATCAAAGATCATTTTACTGCTAATTAAAAAGATTTATAGAAATACGGTTAAAAAGGTTTTTATTCCACAACAGACATTTTGTTTTTTTGTAAATAAAAATATATAAATATGACATTGAATATATAGAAAAATATTTATTTTATCTTTGAACATTACATTGGAAGATCACAGTATTTTTCGGGATTGAAGTCAAATTTTAACTTCTTACTTTGTGATACATAAATAGATATAAATAGATATGAATTAATTAAATATATATTATATTTAAATTTTTCAATGTTAACATATCTTTCGAAAAGAGATAATATATCTGTATTTATGTACACATAGAATATATATATATGTAATTCCAACGCGTGTATTTCATGTAATGTTTTAAATTGAATATATATATATATATATATATATATATATATATATTTCTAAACATAACGCAAATATTTCAGAATAAAGCTGTAGCGTCATACTATATATACACATATATATATATATATATATATATATATATATATTATATGTGTGTGTGTTTATTTGTGTATGTGTAGAGAGAGAGAGAGAGAGAGAGAGAGAGAGGGAGAGAGAGAGGACCACAAAATTTATTTAAAAAATTAAAATTAAAAATTTATTTATATTTATATACATATGCGTTTTGCTATACAGCACTGATGGCATTTCGTGTACTACAGGCATTTTTTACATAGCACGGAACAGAATCAGAAATTGTGCACATATATGTTACCCTCTGAGAACTTTCGTGGACTTTGGCTTTGTAGTTCATGTCCACGTTTTTTAGATTAACAGAGGGCGTATCGCTTTCAGGGATCACCTAAAAGCGGGCCATGACACCTCTCAGTCTTCTCTCTGTTCGTACTTTTGAGATCCACAATTATGGATCTAGCACGGACATGAACCAAACGGTCGTTTTATCGTGGCAGCGAAAAGTGGATCCGGCCACGTAGTACCGCCGGAAAAATGGATCCAGCTAGCGCCACTTTTTGGCGGGGAAAAAGTGTTCCCTGAAAAAGGGCAGCGTGACCCCTCTCGCGAGTCTTCTCTGGTTGCACCCATTGCACCTAACACTCTTTCGTACGTTGTGGTTTCTTGGACACCTCTTATCTAATGTCAATAATAAAATGTCGATGTGATTAAATGTTGCTAAAGTAAAGACATACATTTTTTCCTTAAATTTCTGTACAATTTAACATGTGTTATATAAAATGTTGAGTGCAAATGAACTATAAAGTTGACTGCAGTTGGTTAGAAAGATTCCACCCAATGTATGTTCAAAATTGACTTATTATTTGTACCAGGAACTTCTATGATGAAATTAGAAAATAGCAGCATTTATTATCAGAAGTATGTAAATATTATATGTTTTATTAAGAATTAAGATAAATAGTGTAATAATATAAATCATAATATATGAAAAATAATTTTTTGCTTAGGTTATGTAAGATTTTACTAACAAATTTAAGAAATTTAAAAATAAAATTATATATACAATTATAAAAAAATAAAAAAAGATTACATTATTTTTATTAATATAAAAGATTATATTAATTAATATAATTTTGACGGTATGAATCAATAATTTCTGATATAAATAATTGTATATGAAAAAAAAATATATATGTAGCAATTATATATTGTTTACATTTATATAAATATTTGGTCACAGCAAAAAGTTAAAATAATTCAATGAAAATAATTCAATGAAATCAAGACAATGAAGAATCAAAATAAGAGTAGCAAAAAATATTATTGTAATAAACATAATTTTTGTATTTTATATAAATCAGTAAGCAGGTAATTTGGTACGATATTTTATCTTGATTATTTTTTCAAATTATATGCTAATTGTATAATATTTGTATAATATTTCTTATATTCTGTAATATTTATATATAATATATTTTATTTATATTATATATTTTTTTATGTAGTGTAATGTACATAGAGATATAAACATATAGAATGACATACACATATACACAAGTTGGATATATAATATATATGTTAAATAATATATAAATTGTTTAATATGTATATCATATTCTATACAATTTTAGAAATACATTGAAATTAAGTAATAAATGGCATATAATATATAATAGAAGAGATAGGAAGTACAGACTTAGGGATGATATTCAAGCTGCTCCTGATGAATTTGTTTTTTATTCAGTACTTAATACTGATATTATTATGGCACAAGGAGTAGCTGCAAGTATGGTAAGAAATAAGTTAATAAAAAAGTTAAGATATATTTTAATCTTTTATAATATTAAGCATGAATATAATTTTCAAGTATTTATAATGTATTATTGATCTCAAAATATAAACATATTATAAAATTAGTGATATAAAATAATGAATTGTAATTCAGCTTTAGTACTTAAAATATTTATTTATAGATAACACGTAGTATACTGGCACTTTATAATAAATTAGTAGCAGATCGGACAAAAAATCCATACATTAAGCAATGGCAAAAATCTGGGTGAGTTTAAATTAATATTTTAATATTTAAGTTTTTCTTTCTTTTTTTGTAATGTAATCATTTTTGTACATTTAATGCCAATATGTTTTCAATGTAGCTTGAAGAAGAAATTAAACGTATTTTTTCTCTTTTAATATATTTATCATAAATATGTACATGTACATGTTTTTTAATTACATTTATAGAGAAAATATAATTGTTTTACGAGGATACAATCATAAACATTTAAAATATCTGGAGAGAGAAGCGGAATTTACGGCTCTCGGTAAACATGCTATTTATCACCGATGGCGTCACAGTCGTATAATTTGTGCATTATCGGTATTCGGCCGAAAGGGAGAAATTGAAGATATCTTCGATGGGCTCTTTCATTTATAATAGTGGTAAACAGACATTTCTTTAACAATTTTTAAATTTAAGACTTTTTTTATTTATAGATTTTAGTAACAACGCATTAATTGTACATTAAAGACACTCTCTTTACAATTGAATTGAAATTTAACATGATATTAATGTGTTTTTGTACATATACAGCTTATTCATTTTATTTATCATATATTCTCCTACATTGGTAGCTGGGAGATGCTTGATATTTACAAATATTTCTAATTATAATATTCATATAGATACATATAATTTATATTTACAGAAATATTCAATTATTTCTGATGGAATTTATGTCATTTATTTGATAACTTTTATTACAAATGAAGGAAGTTTTCATCGTTTTAATAAGAACATGGAAAGAATACCAATTCCGTCTCGCTTGGTATCGCAAAGAATTTACCGATCGTGTTTTTTTAGAGAAGACGACGGGTGCCTCGGTCGCGCAGAGGGTTTCACGAGTATTCTCCCCAGACGAAGGGCGCGTTACGCATACTCGGCGAGCGGGCAATGAAGGAAGTAAAGGACACGTTTAAGCGCAAAAGGTTGCGTGTAAAGGCAGGCGCCACGCCCGCCCCTCCATCCACGGCGCGGCCGCAGAGGGGGCGTCGGAGGAGAATGGCTGGCGCAGCCGCCCGCCGCGTTTTATGCAACCAGTCTTGCTTCGGAGCGAGCGAATCCACTGCTCCGGCTTTTGACAGACGGGGTAACGTGTGCAGTGCCATCGGTATTGTCTGTCGTTGTCTGTCGGCCGTGTCTCTCAGCCGTATCGTGCGTCCATACGATTGGTAACGTGCTCGCGGCACCTCGGCGAGGATACACCGGCCCAACGATCCGGTTTCTCGCCGTACTTTTGAGACAGGTCGCGACGGGGCCTACACCTCCACGAGAGCCTGACATAATATCATACGCCGTCTGTTTTTCCGCGCACGCTGATTTTCGCCGGCGAGCGAGCGAACGAGCGGATTCAGCGTGCCTTGAACGACGAGGCGACGAGGCGGTGTCGCCTCGCACAGAGCTGCGCCGCACGTACGATTCACGATCGCACCCTATAGTGGTACGGTGTGGGCTCGTGGTCCGCCAACGGAGTGTCAGTGCGACGACGGTCGGTTGGTGTGCTGACACACGGGTGCATTATCCACGACTGTGTGTGCGTGCATATATGTGCGTGACGTGTGCGTAAAGGCGAGAGACCGACGACGGCGAGCGCACGAGATAAAGAGAGAGGGACGGGCCGACCAGCGATGCGGCCGTGAATCCTCGATACGTGGCTGCGCTCACGCCGCGCGTATTTCGCGCGACACAATACGAATACAACGATAACGATAACGACGACGACGACGACGACAACGACGACGACGACATCATCGGCCGGGAGGCTCCGACAGAGAGAGGCGCGTTCTCGCACGCGTTGCGAATTATCACGCATTTGCGTAACTGCAACGCGTCTTCTGACAGGTTCCTAGCTCGGTCGACTTCTTCGACCTCTTCCTCGTCGTCACTATGGCGGACGACGAGGTTCTCTTCGACGATGTTTACGAGCTCTGCGAGATTATCGGCAAGTGAGTACGAGAATCCGAGAGAGAGAGAGAGAGAGAGAAGAGAGCGCGACGCTCTAGATAGATAGAGAGAGATGTAAGGATGTACTGCGCGAGAGAGAAAGCGTGATGCGATTGGATGAACGACGGTGGGCGGAGGTACTTGAGTGTGTTGATCGTATGCGTCAGTGTGTGCATGCGTTGCGCGCGCGTCTGCGCGTATGTGGACCTCGTTGAATAGAGGGATAATGCCTATACGTGCACAGAGGGCTCGTATATAGCTCGGTGTGATACAGAACGAGTGAGTAACGATGCTAGAGTAGGGGAAAGAGATGCTAGTCGAGTGAGGAAAACGAGTCGGACGTCGCATGTGCAAGTTCCTGTCTGCTTCCACCTTCGTCGAATTCTCTCTAGCAACTCGACCCGCCACCCAATTTGCTTGCAAGGCAAATAAAATTGTATCGTTTCTCTTTTTTCTTCTACACTATACTACTGTACAGTTAAATTTGTATGTGCAATACCCTACCCTGTTTGTTAGCTGTTAATGAATCAATTGTAATTGATTTGACAGTACATTTGAATTGACAGTACATTTGAAACATTGGTATGTTATTGTTTTGTTAAATAATACGTCAAAAAATGATATATTTTTTATTGCTCTTTATATGCTGTTTTGTCTCTCAAATTTGAATTTGATTTGTTTGTTATGAAAAAAAACAGCTAAATTTTAAAATATATTACATAAATTAAGTAAGATAATAATGCACAAAATTGATAATGCACTTATTTCAATAAGGTTCGATTAAGTTACATCTCTTTCGAAATAAACGGTTTAATTGGCATATTGGCAACAACTCATTCGTCTATCAGGTTTACCTGTCAATAAACCATTTATTTAGGCTCTTACGTGTCCAAGCTTTTTCCAATTCGCCCAGGAAACAAGATTATTGCACAACTCGGAAAGAAAAATAAAAACATTAAAATATGTATTTCTATAAAAGCAGAATGAGAAACGTAAATACTTGAAAAATATAATAATTAAACTAAATATCAATTTATCTAAAGCTCGAAGAAAAAATTCTGAAGAATTATAAGTTTTTTTAATATGAGAGTCGTTGGATATTTATAAATCTCTACATCGTATCTGTTCAGAAATCTAACACATAAAGGGCCTTAAAGATAAATTTATAAAGAGGTTGTATCCGTATTGATCTATAAAGTGCCCCAAAGAATAGATATTAGAATTTATATATATAGCCACAATTTTAAAACACAAGTGAAAAAACTTTCTTTAACATTTATTTACAAAAATCTTAAATGTTCAATGAAATATATATAAATATATACATTATTTCATATTTGGTTGAAATATATTAAAAAAATAATATTACAAATTTACTACACTTAAAATAATATTAAAACAATAATACAAGAATTAATTATTTATAGGATCACAATAATTATCTATCGATAAAGCTAATCCATGAAGATGTATTTTTCAACGATAAAAAATTAGAAATTTACACGACGATTTAATTATAATTCGAAACTTTTAATAGTTTTGGGTACCTATATTAGTAATGATCGATTCTATTGAAACGGTTTATTTAATCTACAGAAAGACTATAGTTTGAAAAGCAGAGATTGCTGTCACAGAAACGCAATTTCGTTTGTATCGGAAGCCAATACTTGATTTATCATTCAATTGGCTAACCTTCATACCAAAATAATACACGTCACCAACTGTGACTAAAATACGTATAACAAAGGCGTAGCTATTTGATGATCATCAACTTATGACTTATTTATTCTCAGTCTAAACTATTTATAACTTGCAATTATCGTGTTTCTATAAACAGTATACAGTAGTTTATTGTCTTGCACTCTCTTCATTTAAATACCATACATTTTTTGGATTTATATTAGATAACTTTAATTAATCTATTTTCTTTCTAGACATTAAACAAGTATGTTATATAACAAGCTATATAGCGTGTGTGTACATATAGAAATTGAGTGCTAATATTTTTTAAAAAATTATATTTAATTTTAAATGTTACTTCATATATTAAAAAAATTATGAAAGAAATATTTATAATTATTTTAGAAATTTTAATTTTATTATAAATAATTTTATGTATAATTATTTAATAAATTTTAATTATTCATATTTCATACAGCGTAGAATATTGCAGCAACATCGTAATATTGCTGCAATGTTCTGTGCTATTGGATACGTGTGTGCCACAATTGTTATTAAAATATTCATTAATTTTTTTTTAAATAGACATGTTAATTATTATTAAAATATACATGTAATTTTTTTAAACAGACATATTTATATACAAAATTAAAATCTTGTAATATTTTTTAGTACTATCATTAACATATTATTAGACGTTATCATCTCAAACTTATCAGTATGACATATAAATTTACATTATCTTAACGTTAATGATATGTTCTATTTTAAGTTCTGTCCTTGTATAGTAATAGATTTTCTCGTATCTAGAAGGAAAATAAGTAATATACACTATACTAATATACTATTCGTGATATTCTTGCAATAGAGACCATTTTTTAAGGCATGCTTATTCAATCACTCAGTATTTGCCTAAATTTAATTTGAATATTACAAATTTGATTAAGAATTTTGATAAAACAATATTAATATCGCGACTTTCATGATCGAAATTGGTAAACTCACAAATTAAATTATACTCGTGAAGAAATTAATTAGAAGAATATATAAAATAAATTTTAACATTTTTTTCCTAGGGGAAATTTTTTTAAGATTATGATTAATATGTAAAATTGTTTTTTTAACGAAAAAATTTGTAATTTTCTGATTATATGTAAAAATCAATTTCTCGCTGTTATTATTTCCAGAGAAAGTTTTATTATGTATAAGTAGAAACATTTTTTCGCATGACTAGTGCAAAATTTCAATGGGGACAGTTTGAAAATCATCACACATATATACCTACATGGATTACATCAATTAATCTCTGTATAGCGTTATCGAGAAGTGCTTTCTTCGTTCGTTACAGTTAATTAAAGTTGCACAGTTGACGCTCTTTTCTATGTCAATTGAACTTAAATGCTGTAAGAAACGGTTCTTTGAAAGTCTTCCTTTCAATTGAATGTTATGTTTCATGCCTCATATTTAAGATATCCTAAAGCGCAGATATATAACAGCGATATTTTCCGTTTTTTTATTTTGCTTTTAATTTTAATTTACTTTACTTTTTACCTTTAATTTTAATTCTTACTTTCAATTTCTCTTAATTTACTTTAACTTAATTATTTTTATTTTTATTTAATTTATTTTACTGTAACTACAGTAATGTACCATTTTCTGTAATTTATCATTTTCTTTAAAAATGATCAATCTCTTGCCATACAGTCAGTATCTTATAATACATTTCAAAATTAAGTAAATATTTAATATCTTTTTTTTGTTAATTCGTAAAAGACAATGTTCATGAAAAATATAACAACTAATATAAATTCATGCGTGATTGAATTTTTGAATTATATTATCGATAATATTGTATTATTTGTGAAACTGAGAGAGAGAAATAATTAAAAATAAATAAAAATACACATGCGCGTGCGCAATGGTAGATGCATATGAATATAAAAATATAGAGTTAAAAATATTAATATTACATATATTTCTATAGAAACAGTATAAACAATTAATAAGTAAAAATCAACTGTATATCTTGAAAGTTGTGGATATAGAAAAGGAATTATTGAACACATACATAAGACTTTTCGATCCTTTTATGTCGTTGCCATCTTGCTGAAGAGCGAAAGCACCGAGAAATCCTCAGAACATTCAGACAGTTTTAAATCTCGATGTAGACACGTACAAGGCGAGATACAAGATGGCACGCTCTGTTTTTACGATTCTCGTCCTACTTTTCATTTCTCTCGTACAAATCCTCGGTTAGTGGATCTTATATACATACACACACACACACACACACACACACACACACACACACACACACACACACACACACACACATGTCCGCTGTGTATATATATTCTTAGAAAAAAAGATAAATTCTTATTGACAGAATTGTCCTTGAATTTAATTACATGAGCCGACTTTATATGTCGGATTTATTTTTGGCTTGCTATCGCACGATATATTATTTCATATCTAAATAATGGCATTAAAATAAATATCAAGTGCGCAAAAATTAAATAAATGAAAAATTTTAATTACAAAATTGATACATCTTATATACATGTCCGCTGGGTATAAATATTCTTATAAAAAAAAGATAAATTCTTATTGATGGAATTGTCCTTGAATTTAATTACACAAGCACGATATATTGTATCATATGCAAATAATAAAATAATGGCATTAAGACAAACATCAGGTGTGTGCAAAAATTAAATTAAATAAATGAAAAATTTTAATTACAAAATTGGTAGATCTTATATACACGTCCGCTGGGTATATTCTTATAAAAAAAGAGATAAATTCTTATTAGTGGAATTGTCCTTGAATTTAATTATACAAGCACGATATATTGTATCATATGCAAATAATGATATTAAGACAAATAGGTCAATCATGTGCAAGAATTAAATTAAATAAATATTGATTACAATTTTGATTACAAAATTAGTAGATCTTGTATACATGTCCGCTGTGCATATAAAATATTCTTATAAAAAAAGATAAATTTTTAATGGTGAAATTATCTTTGAATTTAATTGCATTAGTTGACTTTGAATTTTTTTCGAATAACAAAGTTATTTTTGGCTTGCTATCGCACGATATATTGTTTTATATGCAAATAATGACATTAAGACAAATATCAGATGTGTGCAAAAATTAAATAAATGAAAAATTTTAATTAATAAAAATGGCAATTGATATTTCAATCATACATTAAAAAGAATTATGGCGTTATATTTTAGAAGATACTTGGACAAATGTGAAAGAAGAAAGGCAAAGGCCGTTTTTATAATATTTTAAACAAATGAGAAAATACAATTTATTAATTAATTTGCAAGACATATTTGATATTTTATTTTTAAATTAATATTTAAATTACATTTAGTTGGAAAATTGCGTTCTATCTTTTAGTGTGTAATAACATTTATCGTAATATAAATCATTGGCCATATGATGCACTCCGAATTAAATTTTATAAAATATTTGTATTTCTTTTTTTTACTATAAAAATATTGAATTATAGAAATTGTAGTTAAATTGTAACATTTTTATTATCATTGCAAAATTATTTTGAGGCATAATAAGCATAAATCATGATTTTTTGTTATTTCATATGTCATTTATTAAAAACATTCTAAGAAACAGAAAGTTACAAATTCCGCAAGTTTCATTTTTTTATCATTATTTATTATTTATTATATATTCTTTATTAAATATTCTTTTATTATCTATATTGCATCATTACTTATTGTAATGTTAATAAATTAATATTTTAATTATATATATATATATATATATATATATATATATATAAATACATGAAACGATCTTCTAGAAATAGTTTTGCTCTGTGATATATATATATATATATATATATATTATTTATAGCGCACGTATGTAACATCTCATCTATATCTCATACATATATTCAAAATATTATATTTTAGTGATATTCTGACTTTTTTTAGAAAATAGTTCTCGTCAAACTTTTTCTTTTGTCTACAACATTCACTACATACATTCATTTCGTTTCTCGGTCTGTAAAAATGCAGTATTTCTTGTCTGAACAAGTTTTCTTGCAAAGTTATGTCATAGGTATAAGCGCTTTAAATCTTTAACTTTTCGAAATAAAGCTTGTTTTATGTTACTGAGATAAAGCTTGTCTTGAATTTGCATATAATTTCAGCGTTTTTAGTAATGTGTGACATGTTAATATATTGGTGCGATTCATATTTTAATACAATATGAGAATAATGTTTCTAAAGCAATGATAAAATCTAGATAAGAAATTGCTACAGTTACTAATTTATGTCTGCACATATCATTTTAATAATTTATTATTCTTAAGACGTTTCGTATTCTCGTTGGAATTTAGCCAATCGACATATAGATCATTGCAGTGCAGTATTATTTTATGGAAATTTTATCTGATTTCTTATCATGCTGAATCTAAATATATTTATGATCAAGTATAATTAAATATCTATATAACAAGATATCGACATGTGCACTTTTGCTCATATAAATATTAATATAAATCATAATATTTTCTCTCAATATTCATTTCAAAAATTGACAATACATTTCGATATTATCCACAATAAATTACTAACGCGTTTGTATCCAGCATTTTAAACACATGATGTTTTTTTCCTATTATCGACACCTCGCTCATATCGAAGATAAAGTATGTGCTTAGTATGTTCAGTATCGTAAGGTGTCGTTACTTCGACTTATAAAGATTTATGTTGGACCTATATCATTCTATTCTATGTACATTCCATAGTGTTACAATGTTGCAGTCCGTTCTCACATTGACAAATTTTATTTATTTACATTATTTTTTAATTTCTCGTTATTTTTTTAATTTTTCGATTAAATAAATATTTTAAACATATATCAACTTAAAATAAAATCAATTTGTCACAATTATAAATTTTATTCTTTCGTACTTCTAAGAGACACGATTAGGCGGAATCAAGTATGATTCACTTGTATCACATTAGAATACTAATCACATCGAGCTCCGGTACCACGAGCACCGCCTTCCGTAGGTCAGCGACGCTGCAGGCATAGGAGATGCCGGCCACGATATTACGAGGTCTCCAATCTAGCCACTTGATCTTCTCGCTGATATCCGTACAGAGAAATACATCGTCTGTAACCGACTTGATGAACGGATCGTTGAGGCCTACAAATGCCGTACCCTGCTTGCTCAATGGATCGTAGATGACTTTCCAATAGAACTTGGGTGCGGACATGATTGCACCCTCGGCATGCAGGTGTACAGGTTGCTGTTTGCCATGAATGTCCTCCATGGTCATCTGACCGTGCACCCCCGTATAAACGTCGAGATCCAAACGGCGGCTGGCAGCGAAGCGTCTGATGCTGCCCTCCAGTAAATTCCAATTACCACCGTTAAAGGACTGCCACTGAGGTGCAGTATTTAAGTACCAAAAAGTTGCCCGCTGCAAAGTGCCGTAAATGAAGTCCGCTTTAGCGGCCAGATGACCGCGGGAGAGGAATTGCACCGACTTTTTCAATCGTTTTTGAGCTAACTCGGTCGAATTCAGAATTTTACCGAGTGTGTCTAACTGGGTTTCAAATTTGTATAGATGATCTATATCTATCCCAGGATAAAATTTTCCCGCTGAAAAGAACGGTCTGAAACATGCAATCAATAACAAATATGAACATTATTTTCATAATATTATGAATAATATACATTTTTCTCTAAAAAAGAGAGAATAATTGTATTTTAATATACATATAATCAAAATTATAGAAAAAAGATAAAAGAGAACGTTATATCGATCGTATGTTACAATATATAATTCTAATCAGGATATTGTTTTAACATCATTAATATATTAATATATATATTAAATATTATAACAAGAAATGGATGATTTTCTGATTAATGAAATATTAATAATAGAGATATTAATATCATATTCAGAATCGATTAGCGTTCGTTTATCAGAAGGATAGCCGATCTTACCTAGGATAGTTCCTTTGATAGCTTCCGATCATTTTTGACATCTTGAACTTTGTATAGTATGTCGTGTATGTTTTGTCATCGCGGCATAATTCAATAGTGCGGATGAAAGTGCCGCTTACGTTGAAACCAATCTCGATAGGACTGTGTCTGTCAAGACAAGGTGGCGAATCCATGTACTTGGCATAATGTTCGGGTTGAAATTTGCAAACTAAGGATGAGAAATTGTGGCGAACTTCATTTACGTCAAACACCTTATCCTGTACGCAAATTGCCTTGACCTCATTACCCCAACTTCTGTTTTTAAGGTAATTGTCTTTGCCTGGGCATGCCAAGTAAATGAAGTCGTTTGTTGGTATACTTAGGGTTCCATTATCGTCATCCGGATACCAAATGGTCGCATTTTTGGCGACCCGTTTCAAGAGCAAAGGTTGAGGCTCGTTAAGATCGCCATTGTTATATCCTGTAGAGATCCCACAATCGTCACCTGAGAATATCGTTATCATAAATATTTGTAACATACTACTGTAAATTGATGTTCGCGCGAACGACTTGCGCAGTGATGTGTGAAACAGTCAAATGATTTACCAGAGTTATATGCTATCACTAAAGAGTTATATGCGAGAAGCGCAATGACCGCCAACATGTTAGCATCCGAGTAACAACCGTACATTTAAAACCTGTTTCCCTCTCTTTGATCGATTTTATACTCGCCGACCAGTTATATACCTATCCAATAATCTCCGATGAAATGTTGATTTGATTATCAATTGTCGTGAGATAACATTATCTACACACAAATCCGTTATACGAAAACGAATATTGAAATGTAGAGATAAGCTTCATTATTTGCTCATATATTTCAGATCGATTCATGTGAAAAATAATGCATCAATTTAATGCACATTTAAGTAACATGTAACTGATAATGAAATAATGCACATATAGTACTATTGTTACAAAATATTAATTGACAAACATTGCTATGAAATGTGTTCATCATATTATTAAAGATAAGTCAATATCTCTTATCGGAAGTGACTGAATCTGTTGAAGAATTTAGATCTGTACATAAAAGTAATATTGCATAATGCATACAAAATATGCATGAATCTATATGAAATTCACTATAAATAGTTTTAACGGAAAAAATAAGGAAAAATATTTTTTTGATTTTTTGGGAGAGATTTTTTTCTTTGTGAATATTTGATTATACATATAAAGCTATTTTTTCAAAACTTTTACATTCGACATTGTATTCTTATATGTATAACTTCTATATAAAAATTCTATTTTTATTAAATTTATTTTAGATTTTATTAAATTTATTTAAAATTTAAGAATAAAATGTCCCATTAATGATATTTTAAAACAAATTTTTATCGACACTTTAAAAGACGTAAAGCTATTTTTTTCCTCGTTAATGTCTTCATGTTTTTATTAAAGATTGTTTATAGATTTATTGAATTTTTTTAACTAACATAAGAAAAGATACACTTCGTATATTTCAGATTTATCAAATGTATTTTTAACTTTATACACACACACACACACACACACACACACAGAGTGTCCCCAATTTAAACGTCAAAACTTTGGGAGCGTGTAGAGGATCGATAAACTAAGAAAAAAGATCCTTTCGAGATTTGCGCGTTTTTGCTCCATTTTAGAGAAAATCACAAAAGAAGAAGTAAAAAAAGTTATCATTTTTTTCATTTATTTATTCATATTATCATCCATCTTATCTTAGTGAAGATACTGTTCAAAATGTTGGCCTCTTTTAGAAATGCAAGCATTACATCTATCACTGACCGCTCTAATTGCAGTTAGACATTGTTCTGGTGATATTTGCTATCTTTCTCCTTCTCATACGAAAAGAATGTAAACAAACAAAGGAATGAATGTTTATTTCTTTTGTTTGTTTGTTCTTTCTCCGTTATTTCTTAGTTATTCCTTAGTTATGAATTAGTATTGAGATCCTGAGTAAATCTTAAGTGATCTTGATGTAATGCTTGCAAGCTACAAGAGCCCAATATTTTGAACAATATCTTCACTAAGATAGATGATAATATGAATAAATAAGTGAAAAAAATGATAACTTTTTTATTTCTTCTTTTGCGATTTTCTCCAAAATGGAGCAAAAACGAGCAAATCTCGAAAGAACTTTTTTCTTAGGTAACTTTTATCGGTCCTTTACATATTCTCGAAGTTTTGACGTTTAAATTGAGAACACCCTGTATATTTGTGTGATATCTCCGCGTAATAAATAGCGGTTCTAAGCCTTTTGTTTCATGTCAATTCGATTATTTATCATACGGATCGTTAACACTTATTTATTATCCGTAGTAAACATGCGATATTATGTATATATACCAACTTAATCTATATGAATTCAAAAGTAAGAAGAAGATTTACTTGCAATCAGAAATTAGTATAAATGATTTTATTTGGGACTGACATTAATAGAAAAGATGTAATGTCACGATCATTTTGTTTTTGATGTCACGATCATTTTGTTTTGGATTGATTCTAAAATTGTCATGATGCTATAAATTGTTATTAATTTGCTTGTGAATGTTGTTGTCTTATGCAAACTTATATATGTAAATTTTACTGTTTTGCGATTACAGCTATTATATGCAGAGACATATTAAATTGTTCGAAACAGGAGAATATCTAATTAGATTAATTTGAATGTATTCTGATTCTAACACGCACGCGCATGTATTATCGACATAGTAAGATACATAATATGATAAGTGCATATAAATATTATTATAACATATATATCAATATAGTATTAAATTAAATATCTTCTATAATTTTAAGATAAAATTATCTTTTAAGGAGAACTATCATAAATTTAATGAATATTATCTGATAAAAAATTAATAATAAGTCTCAGTAACAAACTTTAAGTCTAACTGCAAATAATGAATGATTTATAATGACGATGCATAAAGAGAGAGAAAAAAAACAATATAATATCAGTGCAATGGTGTGGTTTTGATTTAAATAGAACCGAGTAATTGTCACTTAAACATCATTTCGGTTATAGCATATATGATCTGTACGTGTCGATAAGAGTAACTGCAGAAACTATTCTTGATGTAAAACTGAATAGTTTGATGAGAACCGTCGACACAAAAGATATTTTAGTAAGTCAAACGAACACTTGAACATCTCACAAACACCCATGTATTAGGAATGTTATTTATTTCTGGCTTCCACTAACAATTCCATTTAATACTTTTAATTCTATTCCTTTCCTTTTCCATACGCAAAGAATTAACGCAGAGAAATGTCCGTTTATCTATAAACATAATAAATGCGATTATTTTTACTTTTTCTTTATGTAAAAATTAAAGCTAAAGACATATTGAGAGAACAACTTTCTTTTTTTTTAATCTGTATACGTGCCGCTTATGGTTAAGATAGAGAATGAGCAATCTATATTTCATAATGTATACATATATGCTACGTGGCTTCAGTATCGCATAAATGAATGAAGCTGGAATGTTAATTTCGAACAAACGTATGATTATGTATTCTCGCATTGAATACTATATTCGTAAGCGAATATCCGACATCCAATTATGATAAATTTGAACTTTATCAAACACAATGAGTAAAAGCTTTTGAATGGAAATAAATAAATCGATATTAGAATATTTGCAGATTGTTTCTAAATAAAATATAACATATTAAAATATTATATATATATATATATATATATATATATATATGTAAGAATAGTCTTATATATGTTTATATTTATATTTATATTTACAAAATATATTGCAACGCATAAAATTATGATATTTATTAGAATTACAATGAATATTCGGCTATTTATTCGGTATTCCGCAATATTTTTTGATATTCTGCAATTTTATTCGCAATATATTTATTATCGAATATCAATTTATTCAGCCGAGAATCGAATATTTTTAAATGTCCAAATTGAAGGAAATAGTAAAATTGTAGAGTTGCAATAGTATTATATGTTCGGCATACCGAATATTAGGTCATCCTGTTACTATTTCCTTCATGGAGTCATGCTATTACTATTTACTACATATTTCCTTCAATTTGGACATTTAAAAATATATTCAGTATTCGAATACGGAAAGTAGTAAAAATAGATAAAATATTCTGGACAGACAGAATATCGAAGTATTCGGATAAATATTCGTTACAATTCTAATATTTATACATTCAATCTAACTAATATATAAAATATTAAGACATAATACAATTTTTTGTGTCTTCTCTTTTATATGTACGTACATTTATAATCATATATATATATATATATATATATATATATATATTTATCTTTAGAAACAAAATCTATTTTTGAAAAATAATGGAAAAATATTAGTATATTACAATATTATTTTTATCTTAATACTTTATTTTATGAACATGATGGTATATTTTATTAATCCTACAAAAAACAATTTTTTTCTAATTGTTAATAAACTAAATAAATTAGATGATAAATCAACAATTTGAATGCAGCATCCAGTCAATAGCATGTTTAATTTAATTATGGTTTGTAAGCCTGTGATGTTATCATCTATCTAAAATTTCAAACAATTATAATAATTGCCGCTTTAAAAATCAAAATTCTGTATGACAACTTGGATCTGTAAAGCGCTCTAAATGCCTTCAATGTAACTTGTACCAATTAGGGAGGGCAAAGTTCAATTATGATAGATTCGAGATCTAATTTACAATGACTAAAAGGTTAAATAGAGTGCCATTTGACAATCGTGAGAACTTGTTCACTACTGACTTATCTTTACTAATACGTCATTTAAAAAAAAATACTATTTACATAGGTCACATATAAATAAAATGATACTTAACAAGATATAAAACTGTAGTACTCAATAAGTTAATTTCATTTATTTTTTTTATTATACATAAGATATTAAAAAAAGTAGATAGATAAAATTATATATAACATATGTCACATTAAAAAAATAAAAAAATCTCAGAGGGATATTCTTTTACAAGAGAAAAATCGGTGGTTTGAATGTAGGTCGCGATAGTATTTGACCTCTTCCGGAAAGTGACGAGATGTCAATAACTTCTCATAAAAGGCGGATTACGCTGCCAATCGCTTTATGAAGATCTTAAAGCACTCAAGAACCGTCTTGTAAGAGAGCTTTTAACAACGAAAAACGAAGGTTATAGATGTAGTATATAGTAACACGCGCGCGTTTGCGGATATTCCACTTGTATGTATCTGTGTATCTGTGTATTACAGCAAAAGATTTACATAGGCACACTTTAAAGGATTACATTGATTTTATGACTTAGGATTGTATCGAGAAATATAAACACACACACACACACAATAAATGCACAATACAATTACATGACTATAATCTTCGTAAAATAATATTAATATTAATATACAAGAGCAAAAATAAATTCTCATTACAATTGACATTATTAATTATGTATTCAAAATAATGTGTTACATGTATCCAATATATATAATTAATTATTATTATATCTAATTTATAATTTATTAAATTTCATATTGAATATTGATAAATACTTTCTTTGATGTTATTTTCAGATTTGATGTCATTTTAGATTAAGATTATATTTGTATACAAAAATATTTTACATTAAACACATTATTTCACACATTTAAAAAATTATTAAATATAAATAGATGATTTCAATAATTTATTATAATTATTTAAGAAAGTTTAAAATAATTAATTACAATGTTTGTGTTGAGTAATTATTATGATATATAACAATAATATTAAATGTGACTGTTAGTATATGTCATGACTACAGTTTGTTATTATGAATTAAAGTTAGAAATATTAAAAAGATAGACAATTAAAAATATTTAATAATATTAATTTTGGAAGAAAAGTTAATAATAATAATAATTTAATATAATAAATAATAATTAATTTTAATTTAATAATAATAATAAAATAATTTAAAAAGAATTAATTTATTAGTTGTTTAATATATATATATATATATATATATATATATATATATATATAAACCGCAAAGACAGTCTCTTTTTCAATAAATTATAAAGGTAAAACCTATTAAAATTTTATTATTCAAAATATTTGGCCATCTTTAAATAGTTTATTTGTTTTTTATTATATACTTCGAAAATATCCGTTCGCGTATATCGATTGAATCGAGGATAAAATTAGCTTTGTAAATGTTGAAAACAAATAATATAGAGAATAGAAAAAGTGAAATTTCTAACAAAAAATAAATTTAAACCATAAATGTTTTTGTGTTATAGAAATATGATAAAAGCGGGATTTTGTACAATATATTTATATTTATAATAATTTGTACGTAAAAGTGTGTTCTCGATATGATGATGTATTGTCATTATACGTACCGCAGGAACAGATGTTTACGCGAGATGCTATACGCACGACATTGTGGGTTTTCACGAATTCCATGAATGCGTGCATGGTTATCATTCGATGGATAATCGAGACCGTTATCGAGTTTAACCCCTAAGTATAGATCTGATCGTATGACCTACTCATGTTCCTATACATCACACACATTCACAGAGACTGCTCGTTCATAGATTACCTATCTTGTATAGAGAACAGAGAGATTAGTAGACAGATATTGCTCCCTTTCTCTATGCCTATTAAATATGCAATATACAATATCTATAGAATATCTTTAGAAACTGAATTGTCTATATGTATGTGAAAATTAACAATTTTTCAAATATAAATGCTATCGCGCGCATGTATTTTGTTTCTTTAATTATTATTCTTAAAGTATAAATTGATAAACAATTTTGTCTTAAAATATTGACGAAGATTAGCTATTTTCTTAATATTCATCTGTTTATGTGTTTCAATTTTTATTTATATAAAGTTTTTGAACAATAAAATAATCTGATGCGAAACTAACATCATGCTTAAATATAATAATATATTAGATTAGTAATATAGTATATTATTTATATTTTTCAGAAATAATTATTTTGTTACACATAATATTGTTCATTTTATATATATAAATGAGCAATAAATATTTTGAAATAAAAAGTATTGTATATTTAGCAAGAAATATTCATCAAAATTACTACTAAAAATATTATATTCTTATATTGAATCATTAGTTTGCCTTAAACTTATATTATTTTTTTTAATGTTTTATTTTTTTCGTTTTTAATTTTTAATTGAAGAAATTTCTAGTTTCTTCAACGAACTATGACCTATATTGACATTTTCTTTTTCTATATTTTCTTATATTTAATGTAAAAACTCCTGTAAAATTTTCATCTAGATGCATAGTATGGATGCAAAGGTAGTACATCAAAATTAGTACATGCATGCGTAGGAAAAATGGAGAGTCACAGCGCACGCGACATTTAAAAATGGCGTTAGGTCACCGGAAGGACGTGACCTTGGTCTATAAAGTGATGTCAAAGAAATCTCAAGATATTAATCCTTTAATATCCCGCCCCCCGGAACTTCAACATTTTATAACATCTTTATAAACTTCAAGGATTTTATTTGTTAATGTATTAAAATAAATAATATATAAACTTCATATTTTATATTTAGTATACATTGGAGCTAAATCTTATAAATAAATTTGCTAAAAAAAGAATAGATAATTATTAAAATATAAATTATACAAGAAAATAAGTTTCTGAGACAATCGTTTTTATACGGTAAATATTTATATACAAAAGGAATTTTAAAAAATTGTCTTCTCAATATATAAAATTTCTTCTATTTCTCTGTTTTGTAGTACTAAATATTATATTTAATTACCTGCGCTTATTAATTTGATTTCTTTTATTCGATTTACGAGTCCTAACAATACGCGTAATTCGTATTCGAGTAATTATTAGTGTTGACGTTTCGTCCGCATTGTTGCAGGGGACCATTCAGCGTCGTTCGGAAGTGCATTCATCGTCATACCGGGCAGATTTTCGCTGTAAAAATCGTCGATGTGGCAAAGTTCACTTCTAGCCCTGGGCTCAGCACTGCAGGTGAGTATGAATAGTGAATGGTACACAAGGGAAACATACCAACGCCAAAGGAAATAGCTGAAGTTGTCTTTCTCCGATTTTGAGTTTCAAACATATAGAAACAACGTAAAAGACACATATTTTTTTATATCCGACATAATGTGAAGTCTCAAAGACACACATAGTTGATTATATACGTTTTATTTTGATCAAATCTCTCTGGAACTTTAAGATGATAAAATTAGATTAAATATATATCTTTTTTTTTATTTTGAAGAACATTTTGTGATGCATATTCTTCACAATTTATTAATTACATTTATTGGATTATATTTTTTATAATTTTCTTGAAGAATTTATTGAATAAGTATGAAATATTTTTAATATTATGTTTTTAGCGTTTTCATATATATTTTATAATTTTCGTTTTTGGTTTTCGATTTTAGTTTTTGATTGTTTCATTAAACAGAGAGATATGTTGACTTAATTTTGAAAAACTCTTTCAATTCTTTATTACTCAATCAATATAAAAGAAATTTGTAAAAGAAATGTAATTTTATCTTGTGGACTACTTTACGCATCCACAAGTTTATCGGAATAAGAAACAGTTTCTGCCATTTCCTTGCAAATACCCTACCATTAATTTCCACCGAATGTTCGAAACAAGATCTATACTCCCTTATCCGCATACCTGACAACACGCGTTTCCCCAATGCTGTGCGATCGACTAAACGTGGGTTCGACTCATGAACCGATGCGAGAGCCATTGTGCGATTGGAAGGGTGAACCTGCACATTTTCGGGAATTTAACCCAACATACCAACTGACAGATCCAGACGATATACGAGGACTATTGTTACAAAATCGATTTTTTTTTAATCGAGCGCATTTTTCTGGAAATAAAACCAATATTTAATTTTTACCACATATACATATATACATTATGCATTAGCATGCATGAGCAATTATAATATAACAGTTGAAATTTTGATAGTAAAGAAAGTTGACTTTGGAACATTTTTCATTTAAGTTTTAAATGTCTAATATTACTAATAATAGCAAAAGGAAAAAATTAATTTTAACATACATATCGAAAATATTTTTATAATTAAAGAGTATTAATAAGGAAGTAAATTTTCCTGAGATATCATATAGAAATTTTTAGGATTATATACGAATTCTATATCGAAATATCTGTGAACTATCTGTTAACAGGGAAATATGTGAACAATGTTTAATATTTTGCTCCTTTTGTGAAATATAATCATATATAAGGCGAAACATTTATTTCGCTTAAAAAAAGATGCCGAATATTATAAATTTTTTCTGCACATTTTCAATATGCGCTTATGCACTTTTAATTTTATCATATTTATAAAAATTTACATTATATACATTATATACAGTTAGTATTATTAACATGTTATTTAATTATTGTAAAGACAAATATTAAATCCTTTAATCAAAAATTAAAGCATGTTATCTAATTGAATTGCAAATAAAAAGCAAAATTTATATTTTTTAATTTTTAATAAAATTTATATCAACGAGATTTTAATATGGCACAATGATTTAAGTTATATGAAATAGTACATAATTCTGTGAGTTCTATTAAAAAAGTTAACATTCTTAATATTATTAAATAGTCTTAAATAATTACATTTTTATTTAATCAAAAAATGTATGAATAAAAGTTAGGGAGTCAAGTTCGATCGTTTTATATATTGAAAATTTCTATTGAAATTTTATCGATGGTGATTATTAATTGACTGAAGAAGATATGAACAGTATTTACTTTCATAAAAATATATAAAATTTTACAAGAATACAATTGTGTTAACATTGTTTAGTATTGCGAGAAGCTATGATATAAATGTGATAAAAGTTAAATGTTATAAATCTTTGTTTAAAATTATTGCGATCAGTTCTTTTCTATAATATTTTGATTTAATATAAAGTTGAAAAATACAAGCATTTCCGTTATTGCAGCAGACTTTCGTAGACTTTACCTAAGACTGCAGATTCTATTGCAGTTTATTGTAGATTCTGTTGCAGTTTATTGACTCTAATAAAAATGAATCTGGGAAACGAAGTTTTTATATTCGATCGAGATGTGATATTTGAATCTAGATAACAGTTTCGTTTAACTGAAATATATTTAAAATAATCCTTTCTTTTCTTTTTAACAATATTTAAATGTAAAATATTTTTTACTTGATAAATAATATAATATAATAATGAAATTTGAGATATATTACATGTGATATTTACTCTGTAAATAAATTATATTTGTCTCGTAATTATTTCATATGTGTGTTAATAACTTTTTATATGTTTTTTAGCATTTTATTATTGAATACTTTTTTCATCATTTAAAAATTCTTTGCTGTAAAATTTTTAATCTTAAACTTTTTAATATATTTAGAAAATTTCTTGATTTTTATGTATAAAAATCTATCGAAGTAAAATTAAAATTTAAAATAATTACAATTTAAAATAATTACAGTTTATAATAATTATAGTTTAAAATAATTCGTATAAAGAATAGGATTTTACTAACGATTATTCAGCGATTACAATTCATGCAGTGATTTTTATGTGAAAATCTACTAGACTACATCCATATTTTACATGTTTTAGATTTGAAACGAGAAGCTACAATATGCCATATGCTGAAACATCCACATATTGTAGAACTGCTGGAAACCTATAGTTCCGAGGGCATGTTATACATGGTATTTGAATAGTAAGTATACAAATATATTTTACACAATTTTACCATTTCGCGAGAGTATTTTAATTTAATATAAATAAATAACAAACATTTATATACACATATCTATTTAACATTTATCTACTTACTTTATTTAAGTCGAAATATAAAGCAATTTTACAGACTTAAAAATTAAAGCTATAAAAATAGTAACAGATTATTATAATTGTATACTTTTAATCGTGAATTCATTTAAACTATTTTTTATTTTTATTACTTTTTTAATGGCTTTTAAACAAAAGGCATTAATTTTCGTTCTTTATATGTCAGCAAGTCTACTCTATTTCATCTTGTTCGTGTAATTATTACCTTTAGATTAGTTAAATATTACGTTCTTATATAACATACATATAAGAGCGAAAAGCATCATGCAATTGTCGAAAATAAAAGACTCGACAAAATAAATACATGCTGTTTCCTTAACGGCTCTATCTTTATTCGGGAGAGGCACGTTTTCCATTTAGTCATTTGCTATTTGTTATAACGTTCTACTATATAGTTCGCTATAATTGGATACACATATCCGAGATACTCTTGAAATAATCTACGCTATCGGATAAGATATAGCTAACGGTTTTTAATAGACTCGATGCTCAAGGTGTTTTTAACGATACTATTTAAATAATATGACACTCAGTTGCATTCCATTACCTCCTTTAGTTTAATGGCATGTTTTTCTTTTGCTATAAGAAATTTTAATAATCAATATTTCGCTATTGTCAATATGCAATTAATTATATAATATATATCTTTATTAATAATGTTTTAGAAATTAAATATGAATTTTATATTCAAATTTGATTATATTCGATACAAATAGATAAATATTAATTATTTATTAATATAACTAAAAAATAAAAGTTAGGAAAAAAAAAACTATTATGCAATTTTACAGTAGATCTTTTTGTTATATTATTATTGTTCCTGTTTTAATATTGTCACTTTTTTCAGTATGGATGGCTCTGATTTATGCTTCGAGGTAGTGAGACGAGCAACTGCTGGATTCGTATACAGCGAGGCGGTTGCTAGGTAAGAAAATTCATTATACCTATCCTTCATTATATCATCGTTTGTGCACACGCACACATACACACACACACATACACATATATGCACACACGCACACGTATACACATGGACACACACTCAGCCCATATACACTTGATGAATACATTGCGATATCGTGAATTCACCCCGCATAAATGTATATTCGCTTAAATATTATCTAATGAACCAAATGACTAGCATCACTTATTTTGAACCTAACACGATATAGATAAAACCGGTTCTGGTCTTAAATATTCCAATTATATAGTATTGTGATAAATATTAATTATATATTTTGATATGACTTTACATTAATTAACTTACGCGAGTTAACTAAAGACTTACACGGTACGGATCATTTTCGTTTTGACATATATTGTAGAGGATACGTTTCTAAGTAATATACACTTTGAATTTTGTGGCACTTCTATATCAAATGTTGTTTTAATCTATTTATTAATTTTGCATTTCTAAATAAGGTAAATTTGATAAATTAATTGTTTCTATCTCTCTGAGGTGCTTCGCGCTTGTAATGAAACCTGATTATTGTTTATACATGTATAAATATGTTACACCTCGATATAATGCAAACGCAGATTCTCTCGAGAGTGAGAGTCTCCCCGGCGCGTAATAAATCCCTGTCTCGATAAATCCTTGACTGCGATCCATTAGGTTTGCTATACTCATTTATGTCACGCTTGAACTAGTACTAGTCTTCACCTCGGAAGGATCCTATTAAAACTTGTCACAAATACGGTGTTGTATCATTCATGCTACGAAGAGAATTATAAATCAATATATGCTTAAGATATGATTAATGTGACCAAAATAGTATAATTTAAAAGATAACGTCTGAATCTAAAAATTTCATAATTTTAAAATATAAAGATTTCATTATTTTATTATCTCACTATAAAATAGTAGATTTAGAGTATATTTAGAATATAAAAATATTTAAAGCATATATTACAAACATTCATATATTTAGTAAATATAATTAAATTAAAAAGAATATATGTATTCTATAGGATTAAACATAAAAACTTTTCAAACATAAAATCTCTACTTTCTTTTGTCTTGAAACATGTTTTCATGTCTGATAATCTATTCCTGTGAATATCAACGATATTTCATCGCTAATATCATATGCCAAATGCACGAACATTATATATTCACTGCATGTAACATACTAAAGCTTGAAAGATCGTATCAAGTCTACTTTGATTGATACAATAAAAACACGACGAATACACTAAAAGAACTGTATTATTCTTGTTTATATGGTATATTTTTAATATTTTTATCTTCGTCTAACTATATATATTATATCGATACCTTGTTTTTATTAGACTGCATTTCTTTTTTGTATATTATAAAAAATATATAAAAATGTCAAGAGTCAGCTAGCAAGAGTTTTATACTACATGCACATATGTATGGAAATCATTATTTTTAAATACATTTGCTAACAAAAAGAAATGTCAAAAATCATGTTAATATTTAAATTGAAATAATACAGTTCGATACATATACATACATGTCCGCTTTATATATTTATATTGTATAGACTTTTCAATCTGTTTAAAATAGAAAAAGGCTTGAGTTTTCTATAAAACGCCGAATTTTTATAAAAAACCAGCATCTTATAAAAATGTAGACTTTTTATGTGTGAACGATGAAAACGGTTAAATTATAAAATTTTGTTACTTATATATATGTATATATATAGCTGTAATTAATTTATATAATAATTTAGAGATATGCATACATTGGGAGATATACATAATTAAATAATATTATTTACAATTTTTTATTATTTTATTTTTTATATTATGAAAATACTTTTGTTTCTCTCTCTCTCTCTCTCCCCCCTCCCTCTCTCTTGTTCTATTTTACTCATTATTTTTTAAATTTCCCTTTCGTTAAAAGATTGAAAGATTTTGTGGTGTAAAATCATTACACGATGTAACGAGGCGTGTTTTAATCGCTCTACTTAACTTCTTGGTAAAAACTCGCTTCTGTGTTCGCCAAAATGCTTGTGTCTCGTACTGCTTTCGCTATTGTTCTCGATTGTGAGGGCGTACTCTCTTGACGTGTAGAGTGCCGGCACCTAAGAAAACTGCACTTTCTTTTACAGTCACTACATGCGACAGATCCTTGAAGCGTTGCGTTACTGCCATGAGAACGACATTATTCATCGTGACCTGAAGCCGCAGTGCGCCCTTCTAGCTGGCAAGGAAAATTCTGCCCCGGTGAAGCTGCGCGGCTTCGGTGTCGCTGTGCAACTCCCGACCTCGCAGTCCAATGGTGTTGGTACGTTCATATCTTCTTCTAATTCATTTATGATTTTTTTCGCGATCTCTTTTAAGTGGCATTTTACATAACATAGAGATTCACTTAGAGAATGTCGCACAATGTCAGCTCTGAAATGGTCGACTTCAGTATTATTAACGATATTTTTCCAACTCGACAATTCTACGCACAATCATGATAAAAAAACTAAATTTACACGGTTAAAATGAATGGCGTGCAGTCAATAATGATTAAATGTATGATATACATAATTTAATCAAATTAAAAGATCTAAAAAAGTATTTAGAAAATTTGGTCATAGAAACAAGATTTTAATGGCAGAAATTATCTTTGAAAAAATTATAATTTTATAATAATATTAATTTAATTATAATTTAATAATATTTACATAATAAATATATGTGAATAAGAAATTATTACAACATAATTTTGATAAAAATGAACTGTTATATTTTTCTAACATTACAAATTTATACAAATTAATATAAATTATTTTTTATCTCTTTATTTTTTTCTATTTGTATATTTGTTATCACATTTTAATCGGACTGGAAAAACTTCAGAATATTGATTTCATTTCTCTTCTATTTTTAAGTAATATTATCTTTCTTGTTTCTTACATTGAAAGAAATTCTGCGGTTATTAAAAAAAAATGTGAATATTTTATATTGAGCAAGAGAGAAAAAGAGAGAGAGAGAAAGAGGGAGGGGGAGGATAGAAAAATAGAAAGAGAAAAAGAAAGAGAGAGTGATAAAAGTTTATTAATATAACATAAAAGATATTATTATTATTATATGCTATTAACTGAGAAAAATCTACTATATATTTTTGTAAAATCAAATATAGTTGATTCTATATAGTTAATTCTAAGATTGAAGAATCTTCAATAATTCAAGCAAGACACTGAGTAAAATGTAAATTGACTAATCATTGTAACGAAAAGATTACTTGTGTATTAAAGTATATAATTATCAAAATTTAAAAGAAAGAGTTTATTTAAAAGGCTATGCAAATTCTTGAACTACTCCGCGTTCTCTTCTATTCTGTGATATAGTTTACAAGAGCTGACGTCGTGCTGTTTTTTTTAGTGCGATAGCATTAAGATTAATAAATTTTTCATGATACTTTTAAGTGGAGTCGGCGCTAGGAAACGTGAAAATAGGACAAGAGAGATGTTATTATGAACGATGCAAAAAGTAAAATACGAAGTAAATGTCATTTTTCCCGTGATTAATAGCTTTTATAAACAGGATATAAGAGCTTTTGTATTATCATCTTATATAACAGAACAAGATGTTCTTTAACGAAAGAATTTATAGAAAAATAACACAAGTATGTTTAAATTCTATTTAAATTGTAATATTTTATACGAAGAAATCGATGGACTGAAAAAAAGATTTATTCATCATAAACTGACGCCGACACCATTTTTATATGTTAAATAAGATATATATATATATATATATATATATATAATATTTTAATATTAGATATATATTTTTTTAAGTTTTATTATATACACATGCTTAACCTGATTGTGTTTGAAAGGCATTATTCAATGCGCATATGCCTATTATTAAGGCTATTTGCTGATAATACATATGTTTTCATTAGATTGTGTGACAATTTCATCTTAATAACTAATTCTTTAAAATATTAATTAATAAATTATAAGTTGTTTATGTGCAAATAAACCAAATTTCGTATAATAAATTATTTATCAACTTTTAAATATGAATTATATTTAAAATTATTTGTGAGAGAGATAAACGGTTTAACAAATTATATGCATTCATGTACTTAATGATTTGTTAATGCAGAGATTCTCTGCAGAGATAATATTTTTAATATGCGAGAAATGATAAATTATATATATATATTTATTTATTTATTTATTTTAATAATGTAATATGTATCAACGATTTTTTGTTAAAGATTGATAAAGTTACCAAGCAAAGTTACATAGCAAAAGTTAAATAAATAGATACACACACATATATGCCATTTTTAATGATATTCCTGATTCAATTCAGTGAAAGTATTATATATGAAATAATTATACACACACATATTTTAATAATAATAATTGAATAAATAAATATTATTGTATATCACGTAATGCATACCATTTATCTCGTAGCGACGTGATAAGATTTTATATTTATTTTTCCGAAATTAATGGACGGTGTTTAATGGACTATAAATGATTGAGTTTCTTTTATCGCAGAAATTATATATATATATATATATATATATATATATATATATATATATTGTGTCGCGTTTGCCAACATATTAAACAATAGTTTCTTGATGCAATGTAATTTTGACTTTATTTCTTCTTACATGAAACAAAATATTTTGTAAAAATATATTTCATGCTTTTTTCAATTGATTGTGTGTCGCTGTGTATCTGAAAAAATTAATTTTAAATTGTCAACGTCTAATTGTCTCTCTTTTTCTCTCTCTCTCTCTTTCTCTCTCTTTCTCTTTCTTTCTGTTGACATTTAGATACATTGTGACACTAGTTCAATGAATGTCATTTAGTTGCACGCTCTCTTTTTCGCATATGATACTAAAAAGAGTGAGGTGTAAAATATTCAGTGACAAGAAGTGACTGAGCATGTCTTTAGGGATACAGAAATTATTGCCAAGGGAGTATGCAAATGGGTTTGTAGATAAAAGTGATTAAATTCTTACAGAATAAATTGTGCTGCTTGTGTCTCCTGAGAAAGTTTTATCTTACATGCTATCATTATGGATGAAAATATAATAATCCTCACAATGCCAGAACGCTAATAATGTTAACGAATAAGGGCAAAAAACTTTACCAAAAGCGCATTGAATATTGCCTCTTCAGAATTTGTAATTCAAATTTCTGTCTTTTTTCTATTTCTTTTTTTACCGACGATACAATGTTCCTGACTCTCATCAAGCGTCACTTCAAAGACACTCGTTGTTTTTATATAGGTTTTTTTGAATGCCCTACTCTGCGATTATTGGCTGGCTTGGTCGATGATTGGCAAATCACATTCAAAAAATTTCTCGATGTTCGATGTGCAGAATGCAACGGCTTTTATCGGATTTCTTCCCTATGACAACCGTGATGCTCTCTTTTCTGATCAGCCGCAATCGATTGATGTTTATGCATTTTTTTTTATCTTTCATTGCTTCGATATCGCATGGTTCCACAATAAGTAGATGCTCTTATTATTAGCGACACTCGTAGATACTATTTCATAGATCGTTATATATATATATATATATATATATATATATATATATACATATGTATATCTTGAAGATCGTTTTATATATATATATATATATATATATATATATATATATATATATACACATATGTATATCTTAAACTAACTTTTATTTTTCTTTGCGTGAGCGGTGCAATTACATTATTATTATTATTTTGTCAAGATATCTTCTGTATAGCCATGCGATATTAAAGCGTCTTTATTCTTGAAACAAATTTCTTATTTTATTCTATATAATTACATGATTTATTACATGTATTAATTGTTGGCATTAATTTGTATGTTGGTAATTATATTAGTGATATTAAAACGACGATAGTATCGTGTTAAAATCCCATCGCCGTTAAGAGCTGTTGATAAATCGCACGTTATCAGTCTCGAGAGACCTCACACTAAATAAAATTTTTATTTTTGTTTTATTTATTTTATATGATTAATATTTAATGGAGGGTAAATGACAAAAATTTGTGTAACAATTATTATCAAAAATTGTATATTTATTGTAGAATAATACAATAATATTATATCTACAAATGTACAATTATATTCTACATTTATTGTAGAATAATATAATGAATGAATGAATAATAACGCAATGAATGAGAGAGAGTAATTACAATAGGTTATCTAACATTCTCACTCGTATAAGCAAACTTCTTAATCGAAATGTTACCATGAAAAAGATATGATAATAATGTGTGAATTTAATAACTCTAAATATATACATTTTCATACGATAAAAATAGAAAATTTCTATCAATTAGTAATAAAATTTAAAAATATGATAAGAATATTTATTATATAAGATAGTTAAGATGCTATAGTTTCATTATCTTCTTGCTTTGCTAAGACTTTACGCTGTTATGATCAGTTAAATATTAATCTCCTTTATCTTCACGATTATCATCTTTGCTTTCCTCAGAAAATAATTTAACATTCTGAGAATAGATCGATGGCATTATAAATGTAGGACAAACACGGAAGACTGTCGTGTAATTGTGCAATTTTTTATATATAAATTTCGCAAATCAGCTTTTCGCTATTAGGATTACGAATCACTTTTAGATAAAGAGTTTCCAGTAGAGCGATAAAATACGTATAACATTGTCATATAATGTTTCTTTTAATATTTTTTTCTCAGGAAACTAATACTTCTTTTTTGCCTTTTTATATGCGTTAGTTAAATTCGTGCTTGATTTCCCTTCGCAAAGAATGACAAGAAAATGCGTATCTCAATGGGTTTTTTCTTTTAAACGTTTTTCCGCGGATTAGGCAATTACAGCGCGAGGAAAGCGCGTCATGATTACACACTGATAACTTGAAATTTGATTTGAATGAATACAGCATGTTACACGACCGAGTATCGGCAGTGTCTGAGCCCAAAGGGGCAGCTCTACTTGAAGGCCGACAGCGAGGGTAAGCCTGATCTAACCTTTAATTATTACTTCCGCAGGAGCCTTGTCACCTCACGCCATATATATATATTACATACACATTTATCCACAAAATATTATATTATGCTACACATTTTAATCTATTCCTGTACTTATATATCACTACTACATCACCATACTCTAGAAGCTGCCACTGCTTGCTTGCTCGCTTTACGCGTTTCACTTTGATTTGACTAACTCATTTACATATATATATATATATATATATATACAATATATATATATATATATATATATATATGTAAATGATTTAGCCAATACATTGACATTTACATATATACATTTCCTCGGATGTATATCTCGTTTATAAATTTATTAAAGAATGCCACTCTTGTGGACTATACGCAATATTTATTATTAGTCATCAGATATTGGCTTAGAAATAATTCGTAATACATACATCTAAAAGCAGGATTAATTGCGATTTCGTATGTATATCGTCTCTCATTATTAGCAGTGATTCACATTTACACTTATATAAAAACGGTAATTATATATCTAAATTTATGTATATATAATTAGATTTATATAAATATTACTTATTATTTTAATGATTAGACTATTATTGAGAACTCATTCTGTAGCTTACATTTTATATTAGAAGGATCGTCGTAAAATTTTTTTCTGTGGAAATACCGGGTGATTAATTAAAAATCTCTGAAATATCGTATTAAAAAAATTTGTTTTACGAATTAAAAGAAATTCTAATTCTAACAGACTTTAACAGGATTAAACGGAGATTATTTTACCTATGTTACTATATATCACCTATGTACATACACCTATGTACATATATATCAAACAAATAAACCCATACAGACATCGCGGAGGTACGCCACAAGCACATCTTACATACCAATAGACGCACACATACCACCAGAGAATCAAGTCGAGAGTCAATCAATAAATGAGTCGGTCGATCTCTTGCACTTTGATTCTACACGAATTTGATCCTTTGATAAAAGCAACAAACTACCCAATACAACCACAGGTCTGTCTTCCTCTACGGGTAACGGCGTTGACGATGAAGAACATTTTATCGTCCGTGAAAATAAGTCGCGCAATTATTGCGATGACGCGAAATTATTGTGACGATAACAATCCTTCTCCTTTCTCTCTGTGTTCTTTCGATAGGCCTGATCTCCTCGAGCTGCAATTTTCCTTTTGAGGACCTGACCGACGCCGAGGATTCGCTAGTGAGCGACACGGAGGACAATATCGGTATCCATATGCCTGACACATAACTTATGATTTACCACAATCGGGGGTAGAAACGAAAAGTATTGCATCTTCTTAAAAGAATTTATCTTTCTTTACGCGTTCTTGAATATAGTGGTCAGTTTCTTAATTATGATCGTAAAGTATTATTCAGAATTGTTTTTTTCAACGACAAGGCCCAGACATGTACAGGGTGTTCCATATAACTTGCCTTGCTTACACGTGTTTTGAAAAATTGATGCTGAGAAAAATAATATATAAAAGCGTCTCGATATAAAAATTAATATTACATGTTAAAATCTATATTTTTTAAATGTGATCGCTTTTACTCGTATGTTTTCTACTGCTGTTAATACTTGCGATGGAATTATTTTATGTGGAGTATCCTGTATATAGGAAGGAAAAGATCCACGTATTAAGTTGGAATTTGACAAAATAACATATATCTCAGTGAGAAATGACATCGAATTTATACGCGAAGCATGCACATGAATACGATAGCATTCGGTGATCATCGAGCGATCGATCAGAGTCCCGTTTCGGGGTTACTCTCACTTGAGACATAGTCGACGTTCTACCCCCATGTGTGGTATGGTTATGTTAGTTTGAGAACGTCTAGTGTCTGTATAGACACTCGACCCACGTGCGATAGCGTATTCCTGTGATATCGTTGTGCAGGTCGCGTAGTAACAGATATTCGTTGTGCCATCGAGAGGAAGCGAGTGACAAAGCGACTCCTTCCTCCTTTCTCTATTTCCACCCCTTCCGTCGTCCGCGTGTCTGATTTTGTAACGCGCGAATGACACAAGCTCTGCTTCATCGTTGTAGGATTGGAATAAATTTGTGACAGAATTGAAGGGTTCGTTACGAGATTCGTTCTTACATTATTTTATTTCATCGATACCGAACCAAAAATCTAACTTGTACCTCTTCATATCAAATCATCTCTTCGCCTTTTCGGCTCATCAGAGATTTTCAATAAAAAATATTTAAAATTTAAAAAAGTCTGTTCGAGATTTATCCTTTCGTCATTTTTGGTCTCTGTATAAAAGTCTCTTGAAAATTAAAAACCGTTGTATGTCGGCCAATTCAATTTGTAGTATAAAATTTCGAGTTAGCTTTGCTAAAAAAAAAAAAGAAAAAATAGAATGTTGAAAATGTAAAAAATAAACATGGGTATATTATTTGCAATAATTAAAACTTTAGATAATAAATTTTTAAATCTAATTTTCTTTGTAGCTTGCAAATTTTCTTTATTCATAATGCATTTTCAAATTAAATTGCTCGAATTGATTATATTCACAATGTGATTACTATTTTGATATTGATTTTATTGGTAGTCCAATGATTTTCAATAACATATGTTTTTATGTATATGCTAATAATGTTTAACAATATATATGTGTACGTCTAAAAAAAGACAAAATTTTAAAAAGAAAAAAATAGAGTACGTTCTTGTAAAAAAAAATAGAGACAGCAAAATATACAAATTCGAGTTAGTTTTGAGATATATAATATTTATTGATATTATAATCAATAAATAAATATATTATAATTAATAATATATTATATAACTATGAATTTATTATTAGTAATAAATATGTATTATATTAAAAATAATAAACACTTATCGTTTCTGAGTAGAAGCTTCTGTTGTCTGAATTTTTTTCTATTTATAATAATTATAATAATTATATTTTGGTTACGCGTAATAAACCCTTCAAATCGGTTTACCTTTATTTGAGTCTGGTTACGTGGACTAATTGCCCGCATAATTTGGGCTTGTCTATGTCGTTATTGTTCGTAGCGGTAGACTAGCCTGTGTATTTATGTGTGTGTCTGTCTATTTGTATGCCGCTTTGTGTTTGTCTTTCATCACTTATCGATGACAAATTGAAACTAGTCGCCGCGTTAGAGAGAGGCAAGACTATTTTGTTGCGAATCCAGTGAAATGTGTTTACAACGAGAAAGACAAACGTGATGGAATCCAAACAGCGTTGTCATCGAGCAGATACATCGCATGTTAAAATGAAATCGGAGTAATCTAGTATACATGAGTATATCTTAATTATATATTATAAAATATATATTTGGCATTTTGCTATTGCGTGCAATTACTTGTTCATTAAAAATAATATTATATAAAAATGAATTTTTTAATTTTGTCTCAACAATTACGATATAACAGTGCATGATTTTAAATAAATATTTTATGCAATCTTTCTTTGCATTATTATGACAAGTAAATTATTACGAAAATGTCACATCTATTTTATAATGAAGAATTTATGTTATGAATAGTACCGTCTTAACGTCATTTTTTCATGAAACTCGATAATCTGGAATGACAAGTGTGCAATGTTCCCGCGTATATATTACGTATCATGTGTCTAATGGAATAAGATATATATTCTTTCCGCAACGTTGCGCAAAAGTATAATCTTCGTTCTTTTAATTAATGTCAAAGCTCAATGACATTAATATCAATTCAGTAACATTAAATCAGTGACATTGTATCACATTAAATATGATTTTTTTATTTTAGACTTTATTAATTAGACTATTAATTAGACTTTGTTTAATAAAAATACAACATAATTATAATAATACGTATGTTAATAATGTTGTGTAAGATAACAATTTGATAATTTAATTAATTTAATTTTTTATCTCCCAACATATATATGTATATAATATATATATATATATATGTATGTATATATATATAAAATTGTTATTAATTTAATTCCAAAATTTTAGCTAATTTGTAGATATTTTGTAATGTGTTGATCTTTCTAAAAAAAGGTTTCGCATTCCACTCGTAAATTAACATATATATATATATATATATATATATATATATATATATATATGTTAATTTACGAGTGGAATGCGAAACCTTTATATATATATATAATTTACGAGTAGAATGCGAAATCTTTTTTTAGAAAGATACAAAATATCTACAAATTAGCTAAAACTTTGAAATGAAATTAATAACAATTTTTTATATTATTTTTAGGATTTTCAACATATCTGTCCCAACTAAAACAAATTTAAAAAATATCTATACATTAAAAGAAAACTAAGATTAAACACTAATAATTTATATACACTTTTTAAGTTAAATTTTTATCTGAAAACTAAAAATATTTTTAATTGAAAAATTGTAAATATTTGTAACTGATTTGATATTTTTATTAGTGAAAAATAATCTGTTTCTTTAAAATACATAATCAGATAATTTTGAAATGTCCTTTATATAAACACACATATATTATACTAAAATAAATGTTTTTTATAAAGATTTATGCAATTTTATTGAAAAATAGAATGTTATAAATTTGTTCTTGAATTTACTTTTTTATCAAAAACTGGTATTAAATTTATAATTGTATATTGCAATATCATAATAGATCATATAACAAATTCGGAAAAAATTGAGAGATTAATTGTGAATTGCATTAACGGAAACGAATTGTTAATATAAGAATGGATTTTTTTAATAAATAAAATAAAATATTTCTTTAATATATATTTTTATGTATATTATTACAACATTTGTGCAATTAAGATTTTACATCTTGTTTTAATAAATAAATTGCGTGTATGTGTATATGTATATTAGTATATTTTATCATAATATGTTTTACTCAAAATAAACTTCCGTATGTGACAGAATTTTCCAGGCCACTCGTGCATCATTCTGTACATAAAATATACTTGGTGCATAAAATGCATATCGTATTATTAACTCGTTGCTTCATTTGTGTGACTAATTACTTTTGCTGAAAAATGAGTTTGTTAAAAAAATAACTAAAATTACGCGACAACAAGCGGTAGCAAAGCGGCAAAAACACTTTGAAATTTTTTATATTAATATTTATATTTTGTACTAATGAATTAATTTTATAAAATCGTTCATTATTAAATTTATATTTTGATATTAGATAATATCATGCATGCTTGCTATGAAATCGCATGAATTTTTTTTTTCTAAATGTATATGTAGTTTAGCACTGTTATGGCACTACAATTTGATATTAGATATATTTTATTAGGTTTTTGTTTCTGTAGTATTAAAATTTTTTTCATTTATTGTTCTTTTCAAATAAATAATATCTGCATCAATTTTTCTTTGCACTCCTGCACTATTTGTATCGTTTATTGATTCAAAAAATGCTACGTAATGTATTTCATCTTTCTATATATTATGTTATATAGGGGCGAGACTATATCTTTTTTAAAATATATTATATATTTTTAAATACATGTTTATAATATGTTTGTATCTTAAATTATTTGCTTTATTAAATATATATACATATATAATAATTAACGAAAAAGGACGACGACAATCCCATAAAAAATACAATAAAATTATTTTATATATAAAATTAAAAAAATATATATATACATGTATATATATAATTATATATATATATATATATATATATATATATATATACTATAATTTAAAAATTATAAAATATATTATAATTATTATTTTTCAGATATACTTTATATTTTTTTTATATTGCACAATTATTGCATAAATTGAATTATTATCGTAAAAAATAAAAAATATAGATTTTTATATATTGATGTTTCATAATTCATGTTATCTTACAAAACGGAGAAACATGATAAAAATACATTTTTGTTTATATATAATGATACAGAATTTATTCAAAACATATATAAATACTTATATAATGCTTATTAGCACAACATTTTTCACATATCAACAAAAAGATTTAGATAAAATATAGCTAAGAGCATATTTTATAGATTAAATAGATTGATTAGATAAAATAGTTAATATATATATCACATAGTAATATGTTATAGATTATATAGTGTATATAATCTAGCTGAACATATGTGAAATGTATAAAGATATTTGAAATATTTTATATTGTTTATACTGATTATATATACATTTTACTATTTTTTCAGAGAAAGAGAACCATATTTTATATATGACCACTATTCATATAATTATTTACCATATTACAGTACAGTATATTTTATATATATATAAAGTTATACGATAAATGTGTGCCATATTATAGTACATTTTTTTATATATAAAAAGTTATACGATAATTTGATGATAATTTTTCTAGCGTTTAACGATGTACTCGCGATCGCAATTATGTCGTCTTTGCTTTACAGCCTTAATCATCTCATCTTTTCCCATGTACACTTTCCAACGTGCAGTGACCTATATTTCCTCTCGTGCCGCTTTCTGTGTCATTTACTGATTCTTAATAAATATAGATTGTTGAAAAAAGTAAGCAAGTTAGCACGTTGGTTATCGTTCGCAAACGACGTTTGTGCTCATATCTTACGAAAGATCGGCTACTTTTGTAACAAGTGTATTTGTTTTCGAGGAATGCAGTAGCCTTTGCGTCTGATACATTCGTTCCTTGCCATTAATTACACTTGATACGTCCAGTCGATCCGACGATAGCATTTAAACGAAAAAAACGTACTTTTCGAATCTTCTCGCTACGAGGCGAGTGATCGATTTGGACGAGAGAACGCTGTCGATTATTGGTTTTATATATGTATATAGTCGCGAAATAAAGGGAAAATCAAACAGAAATGTTTTATCAGGCTGACAAATTCGTTTGTACATATCGCAAACGCAATTCCGTTTTATATTAACGATCGACTGCGAAGTTTCCGAGCAATCACTCACGCCTCGCTTCCATTCTGCTGGCCACATCTTGGCAGTTTTATCTTCTTTCGCTGACGATGCTCTTGGTCGCGCAGGTCGTGTCGGATGTCCGCATTTCATGGCACCGGAAGTTATTCAACGGCGACAATATGGGAAACCCGGGGATGTCTGGTCGGCCGGAGTATTGCTCCACGTTCTATTAACTGGTACACTTCCGTTTGTCGGATCTCGAGACAGGCTGCGAGAAGCAATCTGCCGCGGGCGGGTACAGGTAATGGTTTTATGATCTCTCCTAACGCTAATCCGGATGAAAAACGAGCGGTTCAAAAATTTTAATAACGCTCGTCTCGTGATTTCGAGCCGCTCGCACCATTCGGAGCGCGAGATTCTTCGCATACACGTCAAGTAATTCCAATTTAATTGAATTTGCAGATGGAGACACCACTCTGGGATCCCATCAGCGAGCCGGCGAAAGATCTCATACAGAGAATGCTCACGACCGACGTAAATCATAGAATCACCATCCAGGAAGTTCTCAACCATAAGTGGCTTAGAGTAAGTAAAATGATCGACGAGCGGATCCGCGATATATTCCTTTATTTACGGAATATGGGGATATGATGAAACACAGAAAAGCAATATCGCGTTTGTGTGTATGTGCGTGTACGTATAGATGCATCGTTCGAGCGCGGGCGTTTGATGACGATCAGCATTCTACGTCATGCCGCACAACTCCTGATGGGGATAATCGATGTAGCGGTTTCCGTTTGATCGCCGATAATACATCGGGTTTTATTTTATAATTATGCCATATATATATATATGATATGTATGTACACGTGGCCTCATTCTCCGTTGTTATGTCCGATGAATGTGCGTGCGCACGCGCACATCAGTATGGTGTGCGATTATACCTGTATGGTGCAACAGTTAGCCAGTGACCTAAGGTAACAACATTTGCGGAGTCACCCCCATACTTCTTCGATGCAACACACGTGCAACTAGGCTATCGATCGTTATATAGTAGGAGCAAAGCACCGACGATTAATGAAAATAACTGTAGTAAAGTATATGCCTCGTGCTCCGTGTGCATTGCTTAGAGCTTTTTTACGCGGCTGTACGTTCGTCGAACCCTCGAGGACTTTGTGGAAGCAAGTATAATCGACCTTTCTTCTGTCGTTAAAGCGGAATAATCCGTCTCGCGATTGTATGAAGAAAAATATTTAAATTGTATGTTATTCGATTACGTTCATGATGCTAATTTTTTTTTATTAGCGTTTTTATAATATTTATTTCGTCGACGTTAAACTTTTAAAACAATAGATATAAAATTTTTAGCAACAAATTTTTATTCACAAACTAATTTGCAAATGGCAGTTGTCTTTAATAATTTTGTTGTTTATAAATTGATTTTAATTTGAAATATATAATTTTCAAAATATATAAAATAAATTTGACAAACGCATCTCGCTCCATCGTTGTAAATAATAACTTTGCCGTATTTTTGATAGCGAATGAACGGATACTAATTTTCAGGATCGTGATAAGGGCGCAGCTCGTATACATTTAGCTGATACTATAGAAGAGCTTAAGAAATTTAATGCAAGGCGAAAATTGAGCAATGCTGTAAAAGCGGCTATCTCCTCGTCGAAATGGCATGCCCCATATTCAGATGCTAATGGTGACAATTTCTCCGATGTCGGCGATGATGAGACAACTACAGGTGCGTTGAAGACTTGCGATCTTATTTAGCCTCTGATTTATGTACAAATATGATAAAACAAAATTTATTTTAATACAAGATTTATTTTCTTTTGATTAAATTAATGTTTACTTAAAACAATCGAACAATTTTTATAAAAATTTTACTAAATGACGAAAATGGCATGGTACAAGTAGAGCGCAGAAAAAAAATTATTCTTATAATAATAACATACAGAAAACCAAATATTGCTTCAAATAATGCTTTGAAATGCAGCCTTCGCGGAAACATGTTTGATTTCTCTGCGTATATTCTCTGAGTTTATTCTGAAATGTTTAACTTAATTTTATGTGTTATTATCCAATACTCTTGTAACATAAATATTGTTATATTGAAGATACATAAAAAAATCCAAAACGTCCATACTTAATTTATATTTTGTAACAAAATTGACTATTATACAACGAAAAAAAGAAAAATTTTTTGTTTCTTTTTTATTTTTTCTTCTTACGTTCTAACTAGTATATCTTATTTGCCATCTTCATCTCTTAGTGAGATTATTACTTTGAGCTAATTTTAATGTTATTTATAAAAATTTTCATTCACATTTTAATTATTAGAGAAATAGGAGAAATTAATAGATTCCGTTTGAAATTTCATTAAAGTTGAATTCTGCCTTTCCATAATTTACACTCTATGTGTGTTCAATCGCTTGTGATATTATGATAACAATAAATGCAACGATAATATGCTTTAAGCCAATACTTCATTCATGTGCTTTGAGTGTACTATTTCAACAATGAGATGAATGATCGCGTAATTTGGAAACTTTATCGTTATATGCGCATATTTCGTGATATATCATATGAGTATTAGATTATCTATGTACAAATAGAGCATAACTTCTCAAGTGACTAAGACAGATCTGTTTATTAAAGATCATGATTAGAACAAGAGTTATCAAAAACATTTCGTAAAATCAATAAGATATTTCCTAAAATCAATATTTGATACTATTTTATGTATAGGAGCTGTAGCCGAAATTGTGGATTCCTTGGATGACATTGAAATCCTCGAAGAAAGCGATAGATTGGTGCGGACAGAAGTTCTCAATGCAGTTGATGATCACCGTCTTCGAGCAATTTTAGAGGTATCTTTTTTTTAATGACAAGTTATAATTATATAAAAAATTGCTCGCAAGAAAATATCAGATTATGCTATAATTGAGAAACTGAAAGGGTGAAAGAAATAAAGAATTACAGTACATTGAGCGAAAAAATGTCAGATTTAAATTTGTTTTTAAATTTGTATTTAAATTTTTCACAAATTTGTATTTAAATTTTTCACAAATTTACTTGGATCTAACATTATGTCAAGTGTTTAATTGTAAATGAATGTAAATTATTCCACTTTTATTGCAAAGAGAAAGAAAAGAGAGAGAGAAAGAGAGAGATAAGGGAAAGGAAGAGATCTTGTAAATATTAAATGACAAAATTAATTATTTTATTTTATTTTTGTTTAATTATTTTATTATACAATTTTTTATAATAGGATTATGATTGTGTTTTAAGCAATTAATGTCTTGATTTTACACATGTATATTGCTTGAATCTAAAAGAATATTTTTTTGTTTGTCAATTATTTATTTTTAGGATTTTCTTCTTTGAATAATAATATTTTATAATGCTGAATTGAAAATCGATATATGAAGAAATCAAAGTTTCTTAAATTTGAAAAAATTTATTACATAATACATAATACATATTTGTTTCGTTTTTTGTTTCGTTTAAAAATCGTAATAATATTTTTTAACGGTACGTTACTTACAATTAATGTAATGTTATTTTGAATGTAACAAAATTACAATGTCCAATAGTGTTCGTATTTAGCAAACTTCTCTTTTTTCTTTTCACACCTAAGAAGAATGCTTAAGTATTAGAAAAGATTATCTTTAAACAATTCATAATAGTAATATATGAATTGTTTATAGTGAGAATTTTATATTATATTAATTATATATTATAATCATTATTATTTTATTTTATATTATTTTAATTATATTACTAATTAAATTTAATATTTGAACGGGAAATTATCAGTAATCAGTATCATTTTGTTTATTCAAAAAGATTTCTTTTTCTTTATGTGACTCTCTTATCTAGCCAAGTATCTCGATTATATCTCTGATGTGCTCGAAGGGATGGAGAGAGAGAGAGAGAGAAAGAGAGAGAAAAGGAAAGAGAAAAATAGAAAGAAAACTTTATTTAAGATTTTAAATTATTTAATTTTTATTCTCATTCTCTCATCAACAGCGAGAGTTTCAATCGAGTGTAGGTAACAAAAAGAATCCCTGCTAGGATAAAATAGTTCTGTTTTTTATCGACGGCGAAGGATAACTTCGCCAATCTCTCCCACGCAATATTCGCGCCATGTTTGAATTGTTAAGCCTTTGTTTCAACTCTGCCGTAATCCAGATCATGTCGGAAGCTTCCTTCTCGTGCGGCCGAATCCCGCTGCAAAGCTTGAGCTCTTCTACTGAGAGCGGCGCCACCCACATTTCCCTCTTTTGCTACTCCGATAATATTCACTCGTGCGAGATATCCCGCGGGAACGACCTTCATTCCTTTCAAAGAAAGGCACGCAAGCGCTGGCTCCGGATTGGCAAGATGGCCGCCGCGGAGTCTTGATAAACAACATGCCACGCACGTTCGAAAGATCGCGTAATCGCGACAACTCACGCGTTAGTTTAAATTTATTCCTCGGTGGTTCCTGAAGTGTCACGTGGCCGAACGAGCCACGTGTTAGAACCATGCTTCACGAGGCTTATAGCGCTGTCTAACAAATAGAGATGCGCCTCTGTCAGTTAATGTTCATCGGCGATGCCGAGCTAGCCGGCGACCTGTTCGAAATCGCGGGTCTCCTGGTAAGTAAATTATTTCGATTCAGCGGGGGATAAGAAACGATATTGTCGAAGCTCTCTCTCAGCCGAAACTCTAAATAAGTAATTGTTACCATGTCTGCTGTATAATAGCGCATTAGTCATGTAAATAAATCATAAATTGTTTTATTTTTTTTCAACTCTAATGTTTCAGTTTTAATAACATTATAATTCTCTTAACATTATAATTCTCTTAATTTTTAATGATCATAGTGTTTTTTATTTATTTATGAACTAAATAATCATGCTTGTATAAAAATATTTTTTAAATTATTGTCAACAAACTTAGGAAAAGATTTGGTTAAGTTAGGCAGGAAAAGAAATTTAAATATTTGTGTAATATTTTACTGAATTTACTAAAGCATTATATTTTTCTCTTGATCTAAGAAGAAAATATTTATTTAATCGATTATAGAAAATTTATGAGATCGATTATATTTTATTAAATCTAACAGTACGCTCGATTACTAGCATAAATGATATTTAAAATTAAAGGATTATAGGAAAATCGTATTAATGTCAGTATTGCTTGTTTTCAGCTTTATGACAGAATCTCAGGACGTGTACCAACACCATATCGAGCACCGCAAACGGATGCAGTTCAACGCGCTCGCGATGTCGAAGAGATCCTTCGGGAAGCAGAGCATTCGGCGGTTCGAAATATCGATAGAGCCGATCTTCGAGAACTTCACGAATTATTGGTTCAGCCACATATGCGGGTAAGTACGTTGCATTTTAAAGCCGGCAACTAACACGAACGGAATAAATAATTTATTTCTGTTGATTTTAAAGCTAGCTTTTTAACGTATATCTTAAAAAATACGGAGCATAACATTTTAGAGGCAGTTTTATGCCTGTCATTACATACAGATACTTTATGTGTGTGCATTTTTATTATAAAGAACCTAAAACTCGTGAAAAAATAGAACGAAACTACTATTCTTTTTTATATTTTTTTTTACGTAAATTTTTTTGCCGAATTCTAAATTGAGATTTTTAAAAATATTTTAAAAATAAATAATTAGAGATTATACCACGAGTTATAGCAATTATAGCTTTTAATTAATTCTAACTCTCGGATCGTGTTTATAATTATTATAGCGTAAACATTGACCAGATTTCATTCGTTTATATTATATTGATAATGATTTCTCAATTAATTATATGAATGAATTCAATTAGGAAAATTAAAGATATTGATAATTAGTTACTCGAGTTGTATGAAATGGTTCAATAATAATTAATATTTAGAAGAAAGCTATATAGTATAAAAGATTTAAATACAACTGATTGGTGGATTTTACATATATCAAAATTTCTTTCTTGCACGATAATTATTAATAAGAATAAAGAATAAAAATTAATTTGCATAGAAAAATAATTCTAAATTTTTATATTTTTATATATACAAATATATATGTATATTTATATGATTTTACATGCATATTGTTAGAACTTTTTTTAAATAATGTTACGTTTATTTTAAATAATTTTGTTTAAAACTTATTAACGGATTGAAGAAACTAATTCCACAATCTATTACCCTACTTACACGTATAGTATAGTTTTTGGCTACATATTTATATATGTATATATTTATATGTTAATTTGCATACATTATGATGCAAGATGTATTTTATGATTCCTGGATATAACAACAGGAAATTGCTTGTGACAGAAATAACTTTCGTGAAATCCAGAAGAAAATTGATATTTGCATCGGATGATTTGTGTGGCGCCTTTTGCCAAACTATTCCGATCTATGTATTCTGGTAATCTGATAATGTCCAGTCGTGCCGTTGCATCACTGTTGGATCCTTACAGCGAGAATCACTAGCATATTTATCGCGGTGTTTGACATTACCGTAGGATATACCGTAAATGGGGCGCGGAAATGTAGGTCGATCGTTAAAATTCTCAGTTAAAAATCCCGTAGCTGCAACGCGGAGCGGCAAGGGGGAGCAGGAGGAAAGAGTTATAGCAGGAGAAAGATAAATGTAGAGAAGAGGAACGGAATGAGACAAGAGATAGATCGAGAACACGGGACGCGATTTAATCGGGCCATGGCGCATTCTGATGAGCTATCTCGTTACTAGGTGCCTTATTAATCCGATCTTCATCCTTGAGGCGCGATACTCGTTATTTATTTCGCATCTTTTTTCGTCTCCGTCCGTGTTTCTGTCTGGTCCTATTTTCGGCGTCTCGAGAAATTGAGAACCTGGCTATGCTCTTTCATGAGATATTTGGCACTTTGCTCCGGATAAGACCAAAATCGATGCGGCGTCCTACTTTGATTAGCGACATAAGTGGAAGGAATAAAAATAAAGAGTGTCTGGGCGCGAGATACATTTAATTTGATAGAGCTGCTACTTTTATTTTTTTTCATAAAAAAACATTATATCTCTAAATAAGATTTTATTTTTAATATTTAATTTACTTTTACTGTGTTTGAAGTAAAAATTTATATAGCAGTTACTTACTCCAGTTTTCTGAGAGCTCGATAAGATTATATTTCTTCAAAATATATCTATTCGGTATTATACTGTAAGAAATTTTTAATTTAGAATCCATATGTTAACTGATGCATTATGGGAAATAAAAAGAAACATTTTGGAAGTATATATATATTATGTAAAAGAATAATGAAAATACAGTTTGCATTTTAGTGCACAGTCACTATTTTCATATAGTATTATATACTATTTCAATGAAGTTATTTTCTGTCATTTATCTCACGTATTTTTGTTGCAATTTTCACTCTTCGAATTTTCTATAGATATTTTATTTGACGATGTGGGGAATATCAATTTCGATACAATAAACACACGCTTACGTTTACTATTTTTAGAAACTTTGAAAGTATATTTATATTTTCGATGTTACATATATTTATGTATAAAAATTTTTGAATTATCTATACACTTTCTGACTGTTATAAAATTTAGTGTAAAAATTATAACTAAAGACATTAGTTATTATATTTTGCAAATGTTTATAGACCCTATATATTGATAAAGTAAATTGATAAAGTAAATTAAAGTACTCATTTCTGTTATATCATGACAATCAAATCCAATATTGAAATAAAAATAAATCTTTAAATCATATTGTATAGTTGATAAAAGGAAAATGAATTTAATCCATACTTATAAGGAGGTAGAACTTGTTGCTTCGTTGATAGGAAATAATATTGTGGCGACAAGATCGATCGATGCACTGCCATCAAAGAATGCTTGTCTTACATTAAAATACATAATAGAAAAACAGAGACAGAAACAAAGATAGGGAGAAAAAAAGAGAGAAAGAGAATTCTTGATCCATCGACTACGTGGTCACAGCAAGCATCCAAGGAAAAGATTAACGCATGCGCTTAATGTTTTGGGAAAACGAGAAGATCGATGAAATGCACTCAAGGTTTATATCTCATAAAATTGCATGCATGTATATTGCGATATAATTACTTGTAGACAATCGTGATAATAAATTAATAATCTAGTAAATTGTACTTACAATTAGCATTGGCTCTTCTGTAAAAAATACATAAATTTGCAACAAATTTTTGTTAACTATATATATGTATATGTGAAGTGTTACAGAATAATATCTTGTCTTTCTTTAATTAAAATTTATTTTTAAAATGGTATTTTCCAACTAGTCATCATAAAATAATGGTATTTCACTATTTTCTGAGCATACTGCAAAATATTTATTAGAAATTTTATTATAATTTTATTTATTCTATTAAACGCAGATTTTAATTAAATTAAGAAATCAATGATTTTTAATAATATTTATATATAAAATGTATTATATTATATATTTCATCTTCTCGTTTTGTCTTTTAAAAATCATATTACTATTTTAATTGTTCTGAAAAATAATTACAATTGAAAACAAATTTAGATACAAAATAAGTTATAATCAGATTATTATTATTCCAATGTTTTCTATAAAGCCTTTAAGAAATATATACGTATAAAGCGTATCACGTATGTGTGTATGTTCCTCACATAATAGAACATATATAGTAAAAAGGAATAATAATTGAGGCATTGTGCAAGCGCAAGTGTATTAATTGATATTTATCGAGCCTATAAATGTACGCTCCTATACTCGAGAGAAGAGAAATGCAAAAGATAATTACTGCCGTAAAAGTACTATCTTTTTAATTAGGCATTCACTATTCCTAACTAATGATGATCCTCGTCCATTCGAAAACGTGCGTTACAACGTACGTACGTTGTCAAGTAGTAAAAGAGTCTATAAAGACGACAGTGTTTCCAGAGCACTGAGGACACTTCTCACGAGATTTACTCGAGCAGCTGAACGAGCGTCGCAAGCCGGAAGAAAGTATCCGCCGGGCTTGAAACTGGATCACGATTGATTGGCGCCGTATCGTCCGGTGGCGTACGCAACCCCGTCCGGTGGTGGCAGCTACCGACGCTGATGGTACTGCGAAACGGTCGGTCCGTCGATGCGGGGGCGACATGGCGCGGTGCTGGAGTCGTGGTGGAGGGCGAAAGGAAGGATCTGACGTACGGGGCGGGCAGCCTCCCCCCGAGGGGTTGCTGAAGCCAGGGGGGTGGGCGGTGGGAGCCAGGGCGAGAGAGCTAGTATGCCGCAGAACGTAGATCGCGAGCGACGCGTTCCGCACCCTTTTATCCAAATACACATACACGCACACAAGCATACAGGTCCCTCGTCGACGACCCGCCGCAGGTCGATCGTGCTGCGCACGTGGAGGTGGTCGCCGGATGATCGCTCGCCGTTGACGCGATCTCGAGACGTGCGGCTTGTTCCGATGCCACCACCCTCGGCAAGGGGGTCGCAAATCGCGCGCGAAGGATAGAGTCGCGGAAGAGTTGCTCGCGTCGTGGCCGCGCGTGATCAGCTAGTAGGGTCGGCCGGCGGTAGTCAGCCCCGACCCGACCTCTCGTAAGTGTATAACGGCGCCCTCCACCGTACTCGCGGCGCCGCGATATGTCGCGCCGCGTCGTCACCGGCGTTTCCAGTGTGTTATCCCTGTGATACACCTCGGGCTCGCTGCCCAGGTGTCGTGCCGAAAGTGACGGCGAAGCGAATCGACCGTAGGACGCCTTTTAATGTGCATTACGTCATTCTTCCACCTTGGTGAACGACTCTGAAAATAATAGCGTGTCGTAGGTTAAAGCTGATGATCGGCCTACGCGCGGCTGCTGATTCTCCTCATTCACGATTATGCCGCTGACTTTGCGCGTCAAGGATCCCACTTTGATGGATCGCTCGAATTGCTCGCTAATTGAATGATCGCCAACCGGTTAACTCGCGTCTGCCGGCACATGGTTGCTTAGCAGCGCCGCGACATTTTCTATGTAATCAGATTTAGCCCGACTTCGGAATAGGCGCGCCTAGTCTTATATTTGCGACTCGTGCCAATCATTTAAATGAAACTTAATTGAATATATCTATAGATTCTCGGGAAATCGTTTTCACGAGTCGGTACGCGATTGGTGAAGTTCGCTCACGCATTAAATACATGAAAAGATGATATAAACTAATATAATGAGTTTTCGTACGCGTATTTTTTATTCGAGATTACTGTTTTATTTATGATAATCATCGAATTGTGATCGTCTATAATTTATTCTACAGAAACTTTTATTTGTCTTTTTCTATTTTTTTCATTTTAATTATACTTCTATTTATTTTATTGTCTAATTATATGTTTGCCTCACATAAT